CTTGCATATGTAAAAAAAAAGAAATTATAATAGATAATCAAAGAAAATTTCTTCGCTCTTCTATTTTTAAAGGATTTACAATTATTTTTTCAGTATTTGAATTTTGTTTCATTTGGTTTAAAACTTTGATTTAAAAATAAACTGCATTTATAAATTATACATTAGTAATATTCTGAAATTAAAACATTTGAGAATAGATGAAAGAAAGAAATGTATTTAGTTAATGGACTATTGCCTTAATAATTGCATAATTCAATTTTATGAATTTGTTTATTTGTTTGTTTGTTTGTTGTTTGACTTACATGTTTATTTATTTACTTATTCATTCATTTTTCCTCTTTTAATGACTAACATAACCTCTTCATCATTTATTCACCTCATTTGTAAAATAAATATTAAACAACCATAACAAAAATAACAAATGATAGGTAGGAAAGAATAACAATAATAGTTAGCAATAATAACAATAATAATAATAATAATAATAATAATAATAATAACAACAACAACAACGACAATGACAATGATGAATACCAAATCCAGATTGGAACATTAACGATTATAGCATCGTTGATGCTTAAGTGTATGATAATTGAAAAGGTAAATGTAAAATTTTAAGACTGGCTTATTTCATCAAAACAACATTAAAATTGATAATAGTGAGAAGATGAAATAAGCTTCCATTATAATTAAAACATTCCATATAAAAGGAACCAACAAAAATTAGTGGAAGTCATTCAAGTTAATTGCAACTTTTATCCATCCACAAATCTTTCATATTTACTTCTTATTTTCCTACTTTTCAATTTTATTTAGAAATAATTTTACATATAAAAAAAGTAAAGAAAATCCCACTGATTACTAATTTTCAGAAAAAAAAACAGCTGATAGAAGAATAAGTTCTGTTGTCCAGAATGCGGAATTGGTTTATCATTTTCCTGATCTTAAGTATTTCCATCAACACACATCTAACAAGGGCTAAAACGACAACTGCACCTAGACTGAAGAATGATCGCGCAATTGCTCCAAATCTAGAAATCGATAGTGAATTTGCAACTGTTCTAGATGATGCCATCAGATTAGCAGATGTGGAAACTGAAATTCAACGTGATTCTCTAATTCCAACTTCTGATTCGAAAATAAAACATGAGCTGGAGCATAATGCAGATGGAAGTGGACGAACAAGGCGCAGTTGTGGTGGTGGAGCAGGTTGTGGTAGTAGTTGTGGGTGCGGATGCGGATGCGGATGTGGATGTGGTTGCTGCCAGCGATCATGTTGTAACTCATGTACCACTTGTACCACAGTTACAATGTTTGTTTTCTACCAGAATTATTAATAACAGTTTCTTTAATCTTTTTTTATTGTATAAAAACATATGTTTATAAGTATGACGAGAACCAATCAATCCAATTTGCAAAGTTTACGCAAATTCAAATAGCTAAGAATGTCTTACTGACAAAGTGTCATTCCGTACTTTGATATTACTCCGCTGTTTCAACATGTTACTTTTCGTTATTCTCCTGAAATTACCAAAGATATTATAAAGAGCTCATAATAAAAGTTAAGCATGAAAATCGCAATGAAATATTTTTTTATTTTTTTTTAGTTGTTGCAAAACATGTTGTCAACAGTGTAATCAATCGTGTTGCGGATGTGGTGGATGTGGCGGAGGAAGTTGCGGTAACGACGGATGCGGAGGTCATAGGCGTAAAAAGCGAAATATCATGGAGCTTCTAGGAGGACATTTGCTACGTGACAAACGCTCACCGGTATGTATCACAAAAATAAATACGACAATAAATAATTCTATGTATATTTGGCATTGTATTTAATTACTTTTTAATACACTTTCAATAATTCTATAATTAATCAAATTTTTTTTGTTTTTGAAAATTTGATTTAGCATAAAGTGCAACAGTTTCAGAAGAATAACCGGAGACGTGCTACTGATAGTGTACCAATCAAGAAAACATTTAAGGTATTAATTAATAGATAAAGTTAACTTTCGATAGCACTAAAATTTTATTTTCAAGATATTCCATAAAAAAAGAAAAAAAACCATATAAAATCATTATTGATGCATGTCTGAAACATTAGTATTATTTTGATTGGCTAATTTAGTATGTTATTCATTTACGGTTATACCTAAACATATTAAATCCAGGTACTTAAATTATTTTATATCGAATTTTACTAAAATTTACCATCATAAGTTATCAGATTGTATTGAAAAATTTAAAACTCGAATGCATTGATAATGATTTTATTTTAGCACTAATCTTTAATAACTAACTTGTAGAATTCAAATTACTACCAGATAATGCATTTTAGGATTACTGCTGCTAAACTCAGGTTCACAATCAATTATAATCAGTAGCAGAAGTCAACATTCGGAAAAAAAAAATTATGATTCAGAAAATTTCTGATGTAAATTTCTGATGTAAATTTCTGATGGAAAATTTAAAATTGAAATTTCAGAATTTCAGCTTGACTTAATGCGTTTCAAGTACTACTATAAAAAAGGAAAAAAAGTGAAGTTCCAATAAATTTATATTTCAATTATCTAAAATATTAATAATTTGTAAAGAATAAATCATGCATGTTTCATTATTCATAATAAATTTTGCCATAAATTTTATAACCTGTCCATGATGTTTGAATAACGACCAAATAAATAAATCTGGCTTTAATTAAAATCAACACAAAATGTCGGGCAAACTGTTTAGAAGAATAAATTATAATTAAAACTTATTAAGAGATTATTCAGTCAAATCGTTAACAGTATAACTGTACTGTCCCAATGATTTTAGTTCATTTTTTGTTTAAAACAGAAATGAAAACAGCATCTTGATCTTGAAAAACAGTTCTCTAAATAAAATCGCAAGAAAAGGATTCATATAGAATACACTAAGTTAAAATGAGGTTAAAAGAACTCTTTTAATCCCTCGTAAGCCTTTTATCGGTTTAACATTAAAAACTAAAAACAGTGTACAGTATCCCGAAAGTACGCTAATTAATTTGCATTTCTTCAAATGTTCAAAATTTGTTTACAATTGTTTTGCGACGACTACAATTTTTTTTTTTTTTTTTTTATTAGTGAAAGTAGAATTACATTTTACTAAATCAAACATTCATCCGGATGACAAGAAAAAAAAGCGGAAGAAAAATATTGAATAATTCATCAATAAACTGGGCAGTAATTAGTCATCCATTTAAAGAGTTGGGGTGACGGCGCTGTGGATTCATAAAGAGTCATTTATGAATCCACAACCAAGTACAAATACACTTTCCATGCGGTTTCGTTATTAGGTAATCAACAAATCAGTGTGACTAAGAATTAGTGTAATAAAGAAACAGGAAAAAAAGGGAAGAAATGTCTTAACAATTACAAAAAAGTAGCAACATATTTTAAAACTAGTATAGGTAAAGAAATAGATAAAGGTTTAAAACCTGTACAATCATCATGAATCATTAAAAGCATACGAATCAATTCAAAAGAGAAAATTGAAATATTTATATTTTGCTCTGAACATTTTTTGTTCTTAAAATTCTTATTATTTAATTTAAATCAGATTTCTGCATAGATTTGTCGGAAAATAGATTTTAGTGGATAACAAAATTACAACTTACTGCCATTTATTTAAACTTGAAATAACAAATAGATATTCATACATCAGAATAGGCATTTATGATTAGAAAATCTGGATATTTTTATGAAATATATGTCGAATTCAATAGAAAATGATTCCTATTATTAAATATTAAGAAAGAAATATATCTATGTATGTATAACATAAGCATACAAAAACCCACACTTAAACAAATTTCAAAAACATGCAACACAATTATTGAACATATCGCCATTTCCATAAAAAAATTTTATCCTAATCTTAGATTGGACTCGCAGGAGAATCAGTAGCAACTGATCGAACGCTATCAGTTGGTTTTGTGGATGGCAGTGGATCTTCAGGGGGTGACCTACGCTGATCCGCATTTGTCACTGATTCCATGCCCTTCAGAGTCTCCATGTCACATTGTCATTCTATTGTAAGATGATGTTCCTGCAACTGTGGTTTGATATCAGTCAGTTGATTTTCAACACAGATAACATGCTGGTCATTTCGTCCTCGATCATCTCCTCTCAACCGTCTTTCGAAATGTTTCTCTTGCTCGCATCCATGCATTACACGTGGACTACCACGCCTACGACGATCAGGTGAATATGGTCGTCTTTCGAACGGACTCGTTACACGACGATCACAGTCATACTCTCGTTCCCTGTCACGATCTCTTTCTCTGTCACGATCATAAAATCCCCTACGACCCAATGAAGGTCCACCACGTCCACGTCTGAAACCGAGCCACTGATTTTTCTTAGCTCATCGTAACTTATATAATTGTTAAATAAGGTTCGTTAGACAGCTTGTTCAGAAATGAAGCAATTGCTGTTAAATTCTGCTAATTACTTTTAAACTTTGAAAATATTTTCCTTCTCATACAACTTATGACTATTTGAATACTTCAGTAATATACAATGTATATCATACCTATATCCACCATCTGCTCCATCTCGACGTGAACCACCTCTAAGCGGTTGACCACCGCGTCTAAAGCTTCGTCCTCGTTCATCACCGTACCTTTGGGTACCCGCAATTGGTTCATCACCATGCGCAACTACACGTACCCAATTGATAAAATGTGCACTGTTTGACTGCTGTAAAAAAATGCTTATTAAAAACAACAACAATATACCTTAGTAATCTTTACAGTTCTGATTTTTCCTTCCACTGCTGCACAGTGTTGACGTCAATAATTGGAAGGATTCAGAAATTTCAAGAATACAAATAGGAAGCTTACCAGTACGACCGTAAGCACCATAAGATGGAGCTTGAGATGTAGATGGACCACTTTGAGTAGTCAAATCTACACCTATTGTTGGTGTAACTCCAGCCGGAACTGGACCATTTGGAAGAGGTTGATGTTGCTGAACCGGAAGTATCTATTGACCTGCTGATAATACAGATGGCACTGGAAGTCTAAAAAGTACTAAAATGTTAGGTTAAAATTTTTGATAGTTTAAAATGGAATTTCAAAATGAACTATGTACATGAACTCCTAAAGAAAATATTTTTATAAATAATGAAACTTAAAAAAAAAATTTAATACCCATGAGCAAAACGAGGTGGCGGTAAAGACATATTGAGAATATTTGGAGCGGAATGTGTTGTTAACTGAGAATAGGTTGGAGTTGTGGTCACAGGGAGTTGTGATGCGGAAAGAACTGATGTTCCTATTGTACCAGTAACAGCAGAAGTAGTTGAAGATACTTTATTGAGTATGCTTAATAAATCAGAACTTGAACCAACAAGGCCCTTCTTTTTTAGTTCAGTCATTAATTTCTGCAAAAATTTCATTGCTTTCATTTATATATGCTTTTAATAAATGAGAATTAAATATTAATTCAAGAACAGCTATCCTTAAAACTTTTGAAATTAAAATAAACATATAACGAATTTAACAAAATTGATCACTTACTTTATGATTATGACTTGCTGAACCTCTAGCAGTGGTAGCAGCATCCTAAAAAATATCAAATATTTAATATGCAACAAAAATGCTGAGACCTTCATGATTTGAAATTATGTAACAATAAATTCAGAAAATTACCTGATTAAGATCTTCATCATCGGCTTCAGATTCCAAAGGTATTTCGGTTGGTGGTAATATAGCACCAGTCAACAATTCTGGTTCAGCATCCGCCAATTCGGCTGGCCTAAAAATGATCATTTTCAACTTTCAAACAACGACCGCAAAAAAACAAGCAATATTTTGTCCGTACCTCCCCACGTTTTACATAGTAACAAAATAAAACTTATAACGAGGGATCATAAAATGGCATCATAATAGTCTTTTGCCGCTCTTCCTCAATTTTTTTCGCTTCACTCTGCGAACCTCGACGTTCAAAAAATATAGCATCCGTAAGCGGTATCAATTTCCACTGAAAATCTTTTTAAAAAATCAGCTACAAAAAAGTTGTCACAACATTGATTAATTTCTGAGAACTTGAAGTCCTACATAATATCAAAGATCTTGAATTGTAAACTTTATCAGCCTACCTACTTACCACACTGACATGAAAACACCAATTTAACAGATGTTGCAAATAAATGTAGAACTCTACAAGTTCCACAATTCCAAAGTTCAATGATTATTAAGATTTTTAACAACGTTTGAAGTACTGGAAATCCCAATAATCTTTAAACATTCCTCAATATTTAAATCACATTTGAAAATTAAAAAAACAAAAAACATCAGAAATTAGCTATACTGGAATATGAGTGATTCCTTCCGAACGACCAGTATTGAAGCCAAATTCAGTTATATGTAGGCTGCGTTGTTCTTTCATAAATGTTCGTTCACGTTGCATTTCGAGGTGCTCCATGTCTTTAGACGACATTTGCTAACATTTACTGAAATTTGAACTTTAAAATTGCTATTCGATCTGATGGATCATATAAGAATCAGCTAAGTAAACTCAAACCAACAGTATTAAGAACAAATATATTAATGAAACAAAAGTAATTACAAGTTGAAATTCTATTTCTAAGTTAGGGAATGAACTACTAGTCATTTTATTAGTCATGCAAATTGTGACAATTATATTTTTCTCATATAATTAATCCTACTCCCAGATTTAAAATACAGTAATTATGAAAAGAAAAAAAAAAAAAAAACTAACATCTTTCACCCTCTTCTACTTCAAAATACCGAAATTCAACAAGCTCCTGTCCATTTTCATCAGCGAAACGTATCTTTCGATTACCAATTGGTACAATATTTGTTCTTCCACTACCAATTCTTTTTTTTCCTCAACCGATCCCTCGTCCTGTTTTTCTTTATTAAGCGATTTTGAGGTATCACTATATGGTCCCTCCTAAAAAGAATTGTTATTAAATGATTTTTCAAAAAAAAAAAAAAAAAAAAAAAAAACCTAAAAATCGAAATTAGACTTCGAACATAATCACAAATTATGACTATGATTGCGTAAAATTGGAATGACGACTTCTCTTCTATAATGATGTAAGAGTTTTAAAAAAGAATTATTTTGTAAGCTAGCAATGCATGATATTCAATCATAACTTCCACTAATTTAATATTTCGTACAGCTGTAAATTAGCCCAATATTAACAAAATTTAATACAATCATTACTAACTCTATTACAACCGAACTAGTTGATTTAAAAATTTTGTTTAACAACACAAACCACTAAATACACCATACCTAAACTTAAAATTCAAAAATCTTAATGTATGAAAGAACTAACCATAACACTCGGTATAACGGATATCGATGGTTTCAAATTCAATGTCGATCGCTTTTTAGCTTGCTTTGGAGGTTTCTTATGTCCTGGATCCATCAGAGCATCCATAAATGTATTGCTCACCATGACTCCTATAAATCACTAAGATTAGATTAAGTAAGAATTAATATTAACAGAACATTAACAATGTGAAAAAATATGCAAATGATGAATACTTACTTTTTAGTTGGAAAGTAAGGATTTGTTGTATCAAGAACAAAATATTAAAAACGTATGGCTTACTTGCAGGAGTGTGTGAAACAGGTTTTTTATCAGCGAATAGTGCAGATGAGACAGGAAGTGATACTTTTGACACACTTGTTGGAACAGCTATAATGATAAAAATTTTCAAATAGTTTAGCTATAAAAATATTACACACCGAATCGTTGGCATCTAATAATGCTTTATAATGACAAAAAGGTTAGAAATCACCACAGCATAAATCAAGCAAAACTACAGCTCATTCGTAGCTTATACAAACAACAATTTGAAATATAATGATAATTGACTAAAAAAGTCACAGCTATAAAAAAATGGACATACCGGTGCGTTTTTTGGCATCTAATAATGCCTTATTCGACAAATTGCCTTTCTTTTTGGACGTTACATTGTGCTAGCATTACTTTTGCCTGTCATACCTTCACCATCACCTTCTAGTCCTAAAATCAGCAAAAATAAACACTTTCAAAAATAAACATAATCAGTTTATTAAATCGGGATCATCCGATGATTGTACAAGCCTACTGCAAATAATCGCTTATACTATGTGCACTCACGATACACACCAGAGTTGGGGACAAGCTGATGTCACATCTGAATTTTCGTTGAATTAGCACAGTTGATTTATAAAATTATGTGAAGTAGTGATGCGCAATTAGGCGATCCATATTTTCCGTATAACAGTGATGAGTTATAATAATCTCATTTGCACTGTAAGCCTTAACATTGACATTTGTGACTGCTTAATCATGCCAGAACCAGTTGTAATACATACTAGAACCAATACAGTACATTACCAAATATGACAAAAACAATGCAAATTCATCCATCATTTCTACAATCTTTCAGAGTTAGCATTGTCAATTTTACATTACTTAGGTCTCGTTCAAGCAGCGCCATTATTTTTCTCCAGTTCTATCCTGCACAAAATTCCTAATTCATATTTCTTCCATGCTTGCTTTGAAATTATTAAAGTTTTCATTTCTATTTGATTTTGCTTCCTGATGCATTTTTCTGGATTATTCAATTCAATGCCAATTCATTTGTAGGTATTTCTAAAAACGCTGGCTAGGAAAAAGCATAGCTTGTTTTTATATATAACATTGTATGTATGAAAAACAGTTTTTATGAAAATAGTTGTCCGAAATGCTTGAAAAAAGAACAATTTTATGGGGAAAAAATGCACACAAAATTAATAGTTAGTAGTAGCACGGCTCGTCAATCACCGAACATCTGTTGCATGGAATAGTGATGAAGAAGAATCCTGAAATTCATCAACATTATCATGCTAGCTAGTCTAATTTTTTTTTTTTTTACGACATTAAATCTAATTTTAAAATACTTGACTTCCAAATAAGACAAGAAATATTGAAGTTGTATGTTAATATATATATATATATATATATATATATATATATATAATGCAATACGCCTTTTGATGACAAGATAGTCATGAAACAAATCAGAATTTTGGTTAAATGATTACCGATCAAAGGAAATCATGATCGCCTCAAAAAATTTTCACTTCCAAATTGAAATCATGTTTACAAAACGTGCCTCTGTTTCCCATTCCAAAATTTATTCGTCTAATATTTGATGTGAAGCAACTTCTCCTACTGTTCATATTACACTATATAACATCGATTTGTGTGCAGCAACTTCCTCCTTTGAATTTTGGAATTAAATGCCAACTTCACCTAATACAGGAGACACTTGCTAGTATTGAGATACTTTGGAAAAATTTTTCCTGCATAAAATGTAGTATTCCGTTTTTGCAATATTAACATGACAACAATCAATGTACATCTTGCCAATAACTTATAGAATTCTCAAAAGATTTCAGAATTTCATTCTCCTGTTTTTCTAGTAAAAACATTAAAAAAAATTTAAAATACAACATTTTTTGAAGAGAAATCTTACACCTGACTAAACGATGGCCAAAAAGAATGAGAAATAACACTTAACCAGTACAGTACCTATTGAATGGAATTTCGAAGTATAGGTCTTGGCTGTTCTTGGGGTCGTTTCTTTTCTTTTCTTTCCTTACTCAATTTCTCGAACATATTGAATTCTTTAAGTTTATTCGACATAGCTTTCGCTGACTTATTTAATTTTTCTGTTTTTTCTACTTTAGTTTTAGAAGATGAAGCCTTCATGGACTTTTCGGGTTTGGCAGATGAAACGTCTAATTTTTCAGGATTTTTGATGCTTGGAGACATTTTACTAGATTCTACTTTATTTCCAGAAATGTCCTTTAGCTTTCTCCCATCCACTTCTTTTTTAGTTTTCGTAGTTTTTAAATTATCTTTCATCATCTTCGCTTTACTCGCACCTCCAGATGCCATATCAGGTGTTTTACGTTTTCCAGAACAAACTTTTTTCAATTCTTCAGGTACTTGCTGAGGTGGTGCGGATACTAAACGTTTCCATTGTATCACTAAATCACCAGATATTTTGCGTACGTCTGAAAAAACCAAATCGTCTGAAAACACCAAAAATTTGTAACTATATTTGTAACTTATGCAAACTAGAAACTAAAACAAAGTGAAAAAAAAAAAGCAAAAACCAATGAACTACGAATTGCTTTCCACATAGCATAATTTGAAACAAACCTTGATCAGTACAAATCTTCGATAATTTACGCACAAATTTCGGAGTATCGTTTGACTGCAACAATTCTAGGGTTAGATTTGCCTTAAATGAATCAGTTAAACAAAGCTGAAAAGTAGTCGAAAATTAGCCTCTACGTAATTGAAATAATTATCTGCTTTGAAATATGACCAAAAAGAGAAAGCTGAGAAAATTGAGAACTCATGACAAAATGAACAAACAAAAACAATTGCATCTACATGAACACAGTTCGATTATAATAAATTGTAGAGCAGAATGCAAGATTTTACAAGATTATAATGTATGACATGATCATGATGAGTTATCAGAAGCAATAGTATACCACTTAATAAAATGAAAAACCAAAAACTCTATTAAAATAATCCATAAACTTTCAGTTTATATCCAAATTAAGTAATGAAAATGGCTGTAATCGATTTACAATTGAGAATGAAAGTAAATCAGTAGACACATGAAATAACTTACTTGCGAACATTAGCTTAATAGTAATTTCAAACGACTCCAATCTTCGTTTGCCTCAGCAGTTTTTAACCATGATCCCATCTGCTTCCAGACAAGCGGCGTACTAAAACGCTGAATCGCAGCAACTTGTGCAATCACTGTCGAACCACTAAAAAAGACAGTTCTAAACTTATGGAATAAATAAAATCCATCACATTCGTGTGTTATTCTTTCGTTAAATCTCCAACTCTAATACTACATTATAAAGTAATGAACAAGTACTATTTCTAGTTTTTACAAGTTTTCCATTTAAATTCAAAAATAAAACAAGAAGTTTTAAAATCAAGAACGTTTCCAAGGGCGCAAACTTATTTCTTAAACAGTCTTTCATGACTTATAACTTTGATTTACCTCATTTCCTCACTCTCTCCGTCATCTGGTGCAACTAATTTCTTTTTTCGCTTCCCAGCAAGATCACTGATACCTGAAGAAGACGGTTGCAATTCCTGTGAAACTTGCTGTTTTTGAAATATATATATTAATCACTAAATGTAATATTGAAATATATTAATATTAATCGCTAAATGTAATATTTGTATAAACGAAATAAAAAGAAGCAAGAGAATATGGAAGTCGCAAAATCAATAGTTAACCTTATCTTCGAGTGCTTTCGAACAATTTCACGTGCTACAGCACGATAATTTTCATTGGGTGAATTAATATCGTTATTATCTCTTTGCGGTTGACGAGCAGGTCCAACTTGCTGGCGTAAAAACATATAGCGAGGTT